TTGTGGTAGTGTGTAAGAGGCTCGCAAGGAACACGAATCGTGGTCTACTCTCTCCATGCGTGATGGATATGCCACGAGATCTCTTCCGCTTCCTCTTCCTCTTCCTCTTCCTCTTCCTCTTCCTCTTCCTCTTCCTCTCTTCTTCTTTTGCCTGTGCGTGTGTGTAAGTGGCTCGCAAAGGAACACGGATGTGGGTCTACTCTCTCCATGCGTGATGGATATGCCACGAGATCTCTTCCTCTTCCTCTTCCTCTTTCTCTCTTTTGCCTGTGCGTGTGTGCGGTGTGGTGGAGGCGACTGCGTGGACTCCTTTTATTGTTTGCCTGCGCCTGGTTGCAGCTGTTTTTGTTTTTATGTTGCACTTTGCGCGCCATTTCTCTCTCTCTCTCGTGGTGGCTGCGGTGCAAACCCGCAAAGGAAAAGTGGGTGCATGCTGCCCATCGTGCAGGAGTACATGACCCAGTGCGCGCAGCGGCGGATGGAGCCGTACTACGGCTTCCTCGAGCGTGCGGGGGCTGGCGAGATAGTGGCAGACCTGGACTTTGCTCCGCAGCAGGGGGTGCGGGTGTTTGCAACAACGCTGCTGCGCTGCGGGCCACGTTCTATCGCGGCGAAGGGACCGAAGCTGCAGGTGTTGGCACTGCGCTACGACTCGAACAAGGGCATGCACCACCCCCCGCGGCAGTCAAGGCGCATGCTGTCTTACTCGGTGTTGCTGGCGCAGCGACTCCCTGAGGACGTGATCGTGGCAGTGCAAAACCGACCGCTGCTGCGCAGCCTCATTGACGGCGTGCGTGTGGCGTGCATGACGTACACGCGACACCTGGTACGGGTGGAGCTGTGTGGCCTGCCGCTGGAACAGGTGCGGGAGGTGACCGCCAGGCTGTTTGACGTGCTGCAGCACTGCGAGCTCCTCCGGGTACTCAAGCTGAACAAGTCGCGGCTGACAGATCAGCTCTTTACGCGGCTCACCACGACGGCGAACACGTTTTCCGCACTACGGGAGGCACACTTCTCGGAGTGCAGCCTCACAGACGGCAGCGCCCAAGGCGTGCACTCTATCATTCTTCTTAATCGTGGTAAGGAACAGAGCGCCATCTGGCGCGCGTCGCTACGGGACGGGGGCGGGAGCCCTGCTACAGCCCCGCCGTGTGGTTTAGAGGCGCTGGACTTGTCGGGGAACTCCTTTGGGGACGCTACGCTGAGGCGGCTGGGCCTCGCCATAGCGCATGACGCTTCACTGCGCGTGGTTGACATGAGCCGCAACGCTGTGACCACCTCCGGGCTGAAGGAGTTTTTGCAGCAAGGGGCGCTGCAGACGAGCGTCGTTGCGTCGCTCGACCTGTCAAAAAACCTGATAGACACGCGGGACACGTACCTCGTCGGGGATGGCTTTGCGTGCCAGCACACGTATGAGGAACAGCTGCTGCTACTCCGCGTAGAACCGCGGGAGAGGCGCAGTAGGAGTGGAAGCGGGAACGGTGGGGCGGCACCCCGAGCGAGGGAGGTGCGTCGTCGCCCCATGCCACCGACTCCATCACTGACGACGCTGCCCGCGCCGGTGTCCGCGGTGGGGGCGCCGCTGGAAGTCAGCCAGCCTCGTCTCTCCCCCGAGGACAACAGTGACGGCGGCGGCAGGAGTGGCGGAGTCGTAGATGCACGGCCGCGTGCCTCGAGCCTCGCCGTGGTGTGGGATGCAGGCGAGGATGATGCGGAGTTTCGTTCGCAGTCGGTGGGAGAGGCTGGGGCGCCTGCGACCGCGCCTCCCCAGAGCACGCGGACCCCCTCGTCCCTGGCATTGGGCCGCTACGGCACTGCCAGTCACCTGAAGGCGGACCACCAGGCATCGGAGCAGCCCCGGTGCTTACAGACAGAGCCAGGGAACAGGGAGGAGGAGCGCTCACCTCCACCTCCACCTCCACCTCCACCTCCACCTTCACTTCCATTTCCACTACCGCCGCAACAGCAGCAACAAGGTACCATGCCTTTCTTCCCACCGCTTCTGTTCCCTTTCACTGGCGGAAGCGGTGACGATGGCCACCACCCCCAGCTGCAGCTGCAGCACCAGTGGTGTGGTGTTCCGCTATACGTTCCTGTTCCTGTTGCTTCTTTTGGGACCACACCGCCGCTGCCACCGCCGCCGTTGCCGCGCGTCCGTTCTACGCGGGACGCCGCTGTGGGGACGTCGCCGCAATCGGATACGCAACTGCACAGTTCGGCGGTCTCCTCCACACATCGGTCTCTGGCCGCTGGCCGTGGCGGCCCCAAGTCTGACCTGGATGGAATGGTGCGGGAGTCATGTGAGGGGGCAGGCGATGACGCTACTGCCTTTGAGAATATGATGCTGGAACCCTTGCAGACCGGTGCGTGGGAGGTGGCGGACTGGCGCAGGAATGAGCAGCGTTTCTTGGAGGCGCTTATTCTTCGAGTGGAGTCCCATGAGACGGCGACGACTGAGGCGCTGGAACGCAACTATCAGGCAACACGTGATCGTCTGGACGCGGTGCAGGCGGAGTTCTCGTGGCGGCTGCAGGAGCTGCTGGAGGAGCAGCGTGCGGAGTCGCGACAGCTTCGTGGAGAGCTGCGTGAGAGGCTACCGAGCGAGCAACAGCAAGAAGAACGGGTGCTGCAGGATCCGGAGGCCGCTATGGCGGAGGAACTAGCGCGACTCATACACACAGGGATGAGACACGTTCATGATCAGATGCAGAGGCCGGGCTCTGCCCCTGCCGCGGCTTCGTTTTCGCACGCGACTACCTCAGCAGCTGTGTTGGGGGACGGCCTGCAGCAGGCCACGCAGGATTATCTCCGTGTGGTAAAGGAGCGCCTGAGCAGTTTGGGGTGGTGAAGCGAGGGATAGAGAAAGAGAAGCGGGGGAAGAAGGAGGGGAAAAAATGGTGGTGAGGGGGGGGGGGTGTATGTACGAATGGCACATCCTCGCCTTTCTCTACCTGCCTTTTTTTTTCTTCTCTGTGTGTGTGTGTGTGTGTGTGTCGCCGTGTGGTTGTTATTATTATTTTTTTCTGCTTTGGGTCTGGGCGCGCGGCGGAAGGGAGTCAAGTGCAGCCAGTGCGTGATTCAACGTGTGAGCGCGAGTAACACAAGGAAAGTAAAGTGAAAAAAAAAGGGGGAAAACAACAACAACAGGGGAATAAGGCAAAAGGGAGGTTTAATTGTGAGCGATGAACATTCAAGGTGTCGCCCTCCACGGGCACATGAAGCCCGTGACTATGATTAAGTTCAACCGTGAGGGGGACCTGCTCTTCTCCACCGCGAAGGAACCGAACATCAGCGTGTGGTATACCAAGACGGGGGAGCGTCTTGGGGTGTTCAACGGACACAGCGCGATTGCGGCGTGTGACGTGAACAACTACTCCACGCTGCTTGTGACGGGCGGGATGGACTTCAAGGCGAAGCTGTGGTGCGTGGAGAGCGGGGACGAGCTGGCGAACATCATGCTTAAGAGTCCAGCCCGCGCGGTCGGCTTCGCCCACGACGACAGCCGGGTGATGATAAGCACCTCGCGCAAGATGGGTGAGAAGTCGGCGATCCAGCTCTACAACCTCCCCTTCGCTGTGCCCAAGGACGACTACGTTGTGCAGCCGGTCAAGACGACCTTCAACCCTTGCGCTGAGTTCGTGTCGGAGTGCGACGACATTACCTACGCCGTGTGGGGGCCGACGAACGACACGATTTACTACGCGATGTCGGACGGCTCGGTGGCCATCTTCGACGTGGAAACGATGCGCACTTTGCGGACGCAGCAGCCGCACGAAGAGACGGTCAACCGCATCCATTTCGACCCCAACTACTACACCCTCATCACCGCCTCGAAGGACAAGACGGCGCGGCTGCTAGACTCTCGCGACATGTCGGTCATCCAGACCTACACCAGTAACGTGCCGGTCAACGACGCCGCTATCTCCCCCTGCGGCGACCACGTCATTTTAGGAGGTGGCATGGACGCACAGGACGTCACCACGCAGGGCGGCCAGACCAGCTTTGAGGTGAAGTTCTACCACAAGGTGCACGAGAGGCAGCTGGGGCAGGTGCGTTGCCACTTTGGTACGATTAACGCCGTCGCCTTCTTCCCCGACGGCCGCGGGTTTGCGAGCGGCGCCTTCGATGGCCTCGTGAAGCTCCACCGATTTGATGACAACTACGACGCCGCGCCCGGGGCGAAGCCGGTGTGGTCGCCAGAGTCCCTGTGAGTGGGCTGTTACTGCTGCCACTGCTGCTGCCCCAAGCCGTGGGGAGTTTTAAAAGAGGGCAAAAGAAGGAAGGGAAAAGGGAGAAAAGAACACCAACAACGACAAACGTATTAAAAAAAAGACACACAGACGAAAAACAAAAACACGGAAGAAATGAAAGCAGTCAAACCGCAATGCGACGCTGAACTCCTCCGCTCGAAAGGAAAATGGGGGGAAACACATCTCTCTTTCTTTTTTCCCAAGTTTTGAGGAGGGGGGTTCGCGTCTGCTGCGTTTGTTTGTGTACCCTGCCGTCACGCTGGCCTGCCTGCGCCCTGCTCGGTGCTGGGGCCCCACACCTCTCTCCTGACGCCGCTGCACGCTCCTGCCTTTCCATTTCCCCCCCCCCCTTCGCCCGTCCACACAGACAAACACTCTAACACACACGCTGGGCTTTAGTTTGCATCCATGTGGCGGAAGACGACGACGGCACCAGTAGCAGCGGTCACTGCGTTACGGCCGCGGCGTTGGCTCGAACTGCCTTCCCTCTACGGCGCCATCTGCGCGATGGCGGCGGCGGCGGCGGTGCGTATACCCTCTAGCGGCGCGGTGCAGAATGATGAGACGGCGTGGGGGCTGGCGATGGGGGACAAGTACGGCTCTGGCACGTACAAGCTGTTCCGGCCGCTCTAGAAGGATCTAGCGCACGAGATGCGACGCGAGGCCGGCGTGCCCCCGCCACCCCCGATGGAGGGCTGGACGGCGTGCCACGATGCGGCTACGAATCTCGCCGTCTTTGGGCGCTCCACCGACGCCGCGACGCGCACTGTCCACGTGGTGGCCCACAGTCCTATTGCGATGGCGAACCCGCCCAAAATGAACGCTCTGTTGTACTGCGTTGACTGGTTTCCGGTGGAGGTGCTCGTGGCCCGCAATGGCGTCATTGTACACTTATCGATGGCCTCCAACGAGGGCGGCATGCACATGCGCAACGTGCGGGCCTACACGGAGGCACTGAAGATGTTCGATACCACCGACGGTGCGGTGTGAGTGCGGCGTCACCTCCACTACGATGGCCCCTGTCTCTGGCACCTGGAGTTGGACGTGCAGAACGAGCTGTACGATGTCATGCAGGACCACGGCGTGACGCTTGACTGGATGCGGTGGGTGGCTGGGTGGGTGTACTATCTCGAGCACGTTGCCTACCTGCGCTGGAGCAGCTTATCACGTCAGCGCAGCGCGGCACGGAGGACGACTTTCTCACGCCGGAAGAAAAGGAGGAACTCAGCAAGCCCGTAGCGGAATGGTTGGATGGGCACTACGCGTAGCGGGCCTGTCGCGTGTTTCGCCCACCCTTTTTTTTTGGTTTGTCTTCCACAATCATGCATATATGAAGGGCGAGTTTCCTCCGCTATCGCTTTTGTTGTTGCTGCTGTCATGCCTGAGACTGCAGGGATCGCGATACGTTTGGACCCATCACACACTTCGCATATATATATATATATGCAATGCATGCGTGTGTATGTGCACTGCCGCCGCCGCCGCTGCTGCTTCTGGTGACGTTCGTTTTTTTCTCACTCTCTTCTGCTTCACTCCATTTTTTTTTCTTTTTCCTGCTCAGTGGGACGGTACGCTTCACCCGCTGCCGGCATCACCTGCAGCAGACACATCGGCGGCTGCAGAGGCGAAATGCACATTGCCCTTGGCCTGGTCGCGGAAGATGCGGAGGCCCGGCGTGTTGCCAGCGCGGCGTTCACGGCACGCGCGCGGCCTGTCTTCCGCGGCAACAACGGACCCTTCGTGGAGGTGTGGTTTGGGGAGCACAAACTCTTTGGCCTCGTCGAGCGCGCCGCGCCGAACGACTTTATTCAGGTGGTTCAAGTGGAGGACGCTGACGCCGACGCCGCAGACGCGCAGCTGCGGGTGGCGCACAACGTCGCGTTTGTTCTCCACCTCTCGTCTGTGCAGCATGCGATACTGCAGGCGCGGCCCCGGTCGGAAAACGCGTTTGTGAACGGCATGCACCTCGTCGTGGAGTACGCCGCGCTGCTGCGTCACGGAATGCAGGCAGACGTCCTCGGCGTCGAGGCAGAGTCCGGGGCGGAGTATGTGCAGTTCACCTCTGACTGAGCCGCACCCGGCGCCACCGCCACGTTGTGTTCGTGTGTGTGTGTGTGCCGGGGCGTCCTCTTTCCCCCGCTTCCTCTTTCTTCTTTCTTTCGCTAGTGTGGGTGGAGGACGCCGCTGGGATGCCCCCTTTTA